ATTCCTTAGCTTCTTGGTCGGGACTAGGGCCAAATTCAAGCCCTGATGAGGCTGCCTGGGTTTCCTCCTCCTTCACTTCCTCCTCCTTCTCTTCATTTTCCTCCTCTTTCCTCACCTCTGGGGCGTTCAGGGCATCGGCTTCTCTCTTAAGGGCTTTAGCTTTCATCCTTGCCCTCCTAGATTGGGAAACTGTCCCAACCCCTGCGGGCCTGTTCTTGTTGTTCAGCCGATCCCAGTTGTAGGTCCCATCCCACTTGCCCCAGTCAGCCATGTGTGCACTCCCCTTTTGCCAAGGGTTAGAACACTTCCCTTTTGACAAGGGGTTGTGTTATCTAGCTATGTCTTGAGCCAGGCAAACAGCTGCAAACACTCATGCACATGAAAAGCAAACAGCATGCCCATGTCAAAGCAACCACATACAAGCATTAGTTATGACCAGTTACAACAACACAGTGAGCATGTTCCAAGTGCCTGGGCTCAACAACTTTGACTTTATGACTGACCTTCTTAAGTGTCAAACGCCTCCCCCCCGACCCCCTCCCTTTTTCAACTCCTGCTCATGTTTGCAAACTGGTTGGTGAAACATGCACCAAAAGGGCAAAAATGGTGCCATGCATGTGTAAGAATCATAAAAACAAAGCCCTTGTCAAAAGGGCATAGGTTAACGGCAGGAACCCTTGTCAAAAGGGCATAGGTTAACAGCAGGAACCCTTGTCAAAAGGGCATAGGTTAACAGCAGGACTGCAAGAGCATGCAAAGGCCTTTTGACAAGGAGTTTTTAGTCTAGAAGTTGCACCCTTTTGGCAAGGGGCCAGAAACTGTTCCATGTGCAAACCTTTGGCTCAACCTTTTGACAAGGTGCCCTTGAGTGGCCTAGAACCCTTTTGGCAAGGGACTAGAAGCTGGTCAATCCTGTTTGCAAAGAGTTTCCCTGAGCTGGATGGCTTCCTCTTTTGTTAGGTTCTTTGCATTCAACTTGCACAAAATGGTGTCGATGTGTTCTGCATATTTGATAGACCTGGCCCTTGAAATTTCCACCACCAGCTTCATTTTGCCCCAGCCACATGGGTGCCAGTTATGTAGGCTCTTTCAGGCTTTTTTGCATGTGTTTTGTTTAGCTTCACCCACTTAACCTGGCCCCACTGCTGGTGGGGTCATTATCCTGGGCAACATCTTGTTGGGAACTGGGTCTTTTTTTGGCACTTTTGGCAAGGGCCGCAGGCTTCTTATGCACAAACCCCAGTTGTTCTTTCAGGCCAGAAGCAGGTGACTGGGCATGCTTTGCAGGGCCTTTCCCTAGCCTTCTTCTTAAGAAGGAAGGTTGTGTGAGAGGCTGTGGTTGTTCTGCTGCATTTTCTTCCAACAGGCCATCGGCATTTGATCCCAATTCCCCTTTGGACAAGGGGCTGCCCCTCCCTTTTGACAAGGGGCTATCATTCTCCTTCTTTGCAGGTGTGTGCCAGCATTTGGGGTATCCCTCACTATCCAGTGAAACATCACACACACTTCCTTCTTAAGCCTTTTAGCGGTGGCATCCCTTTGGTCAAGGGCTGGTTCTGAGGTGGTGAGCACAGCAGGGTTTTTTATCAATCAGGTCCAACACTTGTTGCAACCTAATGAAGTCTGCACTTGGGAGCTTGGAAGGGCATACTCTAAGCTCCAGACTTCTTGAGCCTTCGCATGTGGTACAATATGACATTCAACCTCTCCACTTTCAGGCCCACCCAAACCCCTCCATTGAATTTGGTTTGGTTCAGGGAGGGTTCTTCTTGGTAGGCTCTAGCCATGGCTGCCCTCATTGCTCCTTGGTGAATCTCACAACTTTTTTCTACTGCCACAAGGGCATTGACCAGCCCCAACACATGGATCAGCCCCTGTGGGTGGCAGGCTTGGTTCCTGCTGATGCTTTCATACGCACCAAAGTCAGAAAGTAGTGGGCCATGGTTCGCGAAGATTTTGAGCAAAATACCTTCGTCCACCTTTGGTTTTGAAAAATGTCTGGCCCCACCTTTGCCAGAATAAATCATGGCCAACCCTTTTCCCAAGGGCTTTCACCCTCTTCCCAAGCACTTTTTCAGCTTTCGCAGAACTTTAGGGGCCCAACTGCCTTGGAAAGGAGCCGCTTTTGGCAAGGGCTGACTGATCTCACCTGTTTTGGAGCCAAAAGCTAACACGCATTGCACATGCCATCACCATGCATTTCCAGCTACGCATCAGAACAGCAAATCAAGAGAAGAATCAAGACCACAATCAATAGAAATTCCATGTATCTATGCAAAAAAAATCAATAGAAACCTTCAGTCTTGTGCCTCCTGCTGGTTGTTGAAAAAACCAATTAAAAAGTCGCAAATCAATGTCAATAAAAAAACCCTATGACTTTATCGATTCCAATCAATAGCCGATGCTCAGGGTCTAAGTCACTGCGAGCACCCTGCGCTGAAATTGTCATTCCAATTTTCTGTCCGAGGACGGAGAAAAGCAGGACACGTACAAGGCCATATTCAATAAGGGTACGCTGCAGAAACTGTTTTCCATGGAGGCCGTGTAGGACTCACTTGTAGAAGCTCTTCTTTTGCAGGCTTTGTAGCCACTAGGGCGCTCAAGCCTTTTTACAGAGGGCCGCCTCGCACGCCCACTCCAAATCATGCGACCACTCCAAATCACGCAAAGCACGCTAAACTGCAAAGGAAAGCTTGCCACGCTTGAAAACGCCAAAGCACAACTTTAGCAGAAGTACCGGCCCAACTTGTTTTACGCGCGTTTAGTAATTTATATTGTAGGCGGGTTGTCCGAATTGGCGCGCTTCTTGCCCAAAGCAGTGCCTACACAGAAATGGCGGCGCAGCACCAGAAACCAAGGACAACAACTTCAACAAAAACGATTCAGGAAGGCTGGCCACGAGAAGCTGGCCGTAGAGCCGCAAAGCTGGTTGCTACCCATTAGCGACGGTAATGCTTATTGCAGCAGCCTCACTGGCTGGCGCGCTCGCTGTTGCAGTTCACCTCGCGAAGCATTCAGATGTTTTTTTGCTCACGCGCACACACACGCAGACACATAAATATACATATATATATATATATGTATATATACACGTATCACCACATGCGTTGTCTAAGGTTTTATGTGCAAGTTGAATGTGTATATGGGCACGCTGGCGTGCTGGGCGCGCATTGAACCTGCGCCGTGGAAAACTAGACTGTCCAGAGCTCAAGGACACCGACGCCACTTGCGCCAAATTACATGTTGGCAACCAACAAGCTACAACTGAAGGACCGTGTTGTGATCTGGTGGTTGTGCTGAATGTGCGGAGCTGATCACTACAAGTAGCTGTGAACTGGTTTGCGCAAACGTTGCAACAACGTATTTGCAGCAAACTACCTTCACCGCGCTAAGCGTTTGGTTGGGCACGCTTGTGGAACTCTGCTTTGTTTGGTGTTGCTACAGGCTGGGCGCACCAAGTACGGCAAGCTGCCTGTTTTCGCGATCAAATCAGCTTAGAAAGCTGCACACAGTCAACGCGCCTGACAAAATGTTTTCCCAACAGCTGATTGGGCATCTGGAAACTTGCTGGCAAAGCCCACAGGCACCTGTTGAATTGGTACCCGGGAAGGTTGAGCAGTTCCTGTCTATTTTGCGGTCACACGCATGCGTGTTGAAACGCGCCAGAACTTGCGCAAGCCAAACTGGCCAAGCGGCGACTCAGTTCTCTCACGCTCACAGTCGCGCAGCCGGACACTTGTGTTTTGAGCGCTGCGTGGGCCAGGCGCCCTAAGGATTAATGCAAATGATCGGTTTCGCCTTAAGGCCGCCGCAGAGCACCATCAACATCACGCATGCTAGACTGTCGCTTCTACACATTACTTGCACCTTCCGCAAAACAAGCGCATTTCAAAAAACCAAAGAAAACCGAGCAGAAATCTAGGGGCTGTTTTTCGAACAAACGAGCGGAAAAAAAAGTGGTACGCAAAAAAAGGGCCCAAAGGGACCTCCAGGTATATTTCTTAATCACCCAAAGGAACCTCCAGGTATATTTGTTGATGTTCTGCAGTTGAGAAAACTGATCACAGGGCGGACTCCCTGTGAGCAATGTTGGCTCGACCTCGTCCACGTACTTGTCGAGCTCTCGGACGTCTTCTTCCCTACGGAGGTCCGAGTAGGTTCCGTCCGGCTTCTGCTCTTCCAGGTCCACTGCGAAACCTGGCCTCAAGCCATAGTGCTCGGCTTGGGCTGTGAACCTCTTCGGGCTGTAGATCTCCATGATGTCTACTGCTCCCATCTCCACGCAAAGCTTGGTAATCTACTCCAAGTCCACTGCATTGATTTCCACCTCCTGGGCTGCGAAAGCTCTCTCAACCTTTCTTCCAACCATTGACCGCAACATGCCTTTCAATCAACTCAGTTCAAGTCCTCCCACGTCTGAGGGCTTGTCCGGAGCGTTTGAAACATCGGCAGCAACTGCCGCTTCGGTCTCGGTCCTCCTGGGCTGGGAGATCTTTTTCCACTTCTGTCTCCTTTGTGGATTCTTCACGTTTCCTCTTGTGTTCTTCGACTCGACGTCGTCCTTGCTCGTCGTCCATCATGCGCCCATGTTTGCATGGGTCATAAAGGGTGGGCCAACCGTCATGTGGTGTTTTGCCTTGGAAGGACGCAAGCTAAAGCAACAATTGCGATTTCTACCTCTGCGCAGGTGGTTCGGAACTAGCCACACCGTGCGGGGGGTGTCAATAGTTTGCCCACGGCACACAGTGTGTAGTCTAAACACAGCGAGCTGCTCAGGATTGCGCAACGCAAAATCGTGCTTATTGAGTGGCGCAGTGTCATCTTAGAGGAACGGCGCAGACGCATATGAGTCCACAGTTAGGCTTCGCATTTTTTATGCAGGTGTTGGTGACATGCCAGTTGCTGCAGCATTGACCACGGCCCTCACGCAGGCATACTGCAATCATTATGCCCGCAGTTGGATCTCATGCAACCTTGGTTCTCGAGTGCAAGCCGCTCAGGTTCCGTCAGCCCTGTGAGAAATATCAACGACCTCCCGGGCGATTGGGCTTCCGAGCGCTTCACCGTGGTGGATGTCGGGAATGGCGAGATTGCGCTGCAAGGGCTGGGGAAGCAATTCTTGCAACTTACTGATCAGAAGATCTGGCACACTGCTCCCGTTGATCACCTGCCTCCCACCTATGTATGGGAGCGCTTCAAGGTGGTCCCAGGCGAGAGCAAGCTGGTGCCAGGCTCGGTGATCGCCTTGTGCCTTAGCGCTTAACATGTATTTTGTTTGTTTTAGGGGGGCGTTGTGGTTTTTGAAATACTCCGCGTTCCTTACCTAAGAAGCTGTTTGGCGATGAGAAAGTCAGGTTTCACTTTACTGGGTGCTGGAGTGAAAAATGCTGGAGGGGTTTTTTGTTCTCGAAATCTGAATAGCAGGTACAACACTCATTGGAAGAAGTTCTTGACCATGAACCGCGATCATCTGTCCACGAGCCCTGAGGTCCTCGAGATTGGAGAGGGCTGGACTTACGAGCGGTTTACGGTGGTGTATGTGAATGGCTGGCAGGTTGCCCTGCACAACCCCAGGCTTGGTTGAGCAATTGGCCACTGAACTTTAGGGAGGTGTAAGGCGTAAGGCCAGTTTGGGTTGGTGGGCTTGGGGTTTGTTGATTTCTTGAGATGGTCAGGCATAACCGTTTCATCAGCCTGTCGACCTCCATGGCAAGCTCGCACTGCAACGTGGACCAATTCAATCAAGCTTGGGAGTCCGCGAAATGGGAGGCTTGGCCCGCCGTGGATGGGCAGATCGGCTTGCACAATGCCCAGCACAACCGCTTTGCGAGTTTGCAAGGCGGCGGCGCCGGCGCCAGTGGGGACGCTCCTGGAAGGCCTTGGGACTCTCTCCCTTGGCTTTCGGAGCGCCTCCGCATCGTGCACCTCAAACCCTTCCTCGAGCCAGGCTCCGTGGTGGCCCTGCACAACGCATTTCACCGGCGCTTTGTAAACATGCACCCTCACGACATGCACTTCAGCGAAGAGAAGGATGCCAACTTTGACATGCCAGACGGGTGGACCTTTGAGCGCTTCACCGTGGTGGACGCAGGGAATGGTCAGATTGCCCTTCACAACGCTCTCCACAACCGCTACGTGAAGATGGGCCCGAATGGAGATATGACCGTCAGCCCTGTCAGAAACCTCCACGATCCCTTCCCTCATGACTGGTTCTCGGAGCGCTTCACCGTCTTGTCTGCTCACGACATCTTCGACGGGGTGATCGGCTTGCACAACAGCGCGCACGGCCGCTTGCTGCGCATGACGGCCCTCGGGGTGGATTCGCACCCCGTCGCTGCCCAGGACTTCACCTCCGGCTTTTTCCAGGAAAGCTTCCGCATCGTGCTGGTCGGGGCGGGCAACCAGGGTAGCTTACCAGTTGGGCTCGAACAGGGAGGCTTTTCTTTTAAGTGAGCGAAGTTGTCAAACAACCTCTAGAAATGCCTTTCTGGTGCTGCTCCCGGAGCAGAGTTATTCTGAGGATGTCAAAACCGATCGCGACAGAAAGGGACGGATCGCGTGTCAGCCAATGCGTTGCGTCAGCGATTTTCCTCTTGCTGATTTGTTCGTGTCGTTGAAGCAGGAAGTGTTTGTCACCGCTAGGTTTGGCCGGACCCTTGCGGCCATCAACGTCCCGAAGGCAACACCTTTCACCGGCTTCTGTTGTTTGGGTTAGATCTGGTCACCCTTGCTTGTTTGGACCGGCTCGGGGAGTGGAGCGGTTTCAGAGTTAAAAATGCCAAAGCCACCGCGAGGCGAAGGAAGCCATAGGAAGCACTTGGAAGTTTAATCAGTTGTTCAACTGTGTAATGGTCAAACAGCAAGCAGTAGCTTACCCAGACCTCATCATTGTATACTCCCCCCTATGGTTTTCACGCCATTTAATAACTGCCCCCTAAATCAACCATACCAAAACCATAACGAGGTCTGGGTAAGTCCCCTGTCCCAAAAAAACCCACCAAACAACAAACCAAACAAAAAACCAAACAACAGACCATACAACAAACAATTTCAAAAACCCTAACAGGAAACGAACAAATAAAATACAAAGCAACCTATCAACGAAACTAAAACCAATACACCCCCTCCAAAACATAAATCTTAAAATGTTTTTTGTTGTAAGAATTATGGGGTTAATCCTTTTCTGGGGGGTTTCTGAAACCGCCTTGCCCCCCCCGCCGGCACCGCGCTACGTCTTCTCCATCATCTTTTTCCTCTTCAACTTCAACCTCTTTATCTACATCGCCTTGAAAATGATGAAGGTGCGCTCGTTGCAGTGGGAGTGGAAGCGGGTTGCAAATTTGACTTTGGAGAGCATTTCATCTATAGTTCAGGCATTTGGTTGTCTGACGACAGCTACCGGGAAGGCATCTGGGGATGACCCGATGCTGTGATGAAATCATCACATGTTGAGAGCAGAAGGTGCCAGAATTCCCCAAACGCTTCCAGCGGAACTAAAAACACTTCCAGCGGAACTAAAAACACTTCCAGCGGAACTAAAAACACATCCATTGGAACTGATATGACACTGGCACTAAATGCTCCCTGTCTCAATCTGGAACAGCAGGGCGAAGGGGGGCAAAGTGTGTGTTTTGTTGTGCCGGGAGAGGTTGAGGCAGGTTGAGGTAGGTTGAGGCAGATTAGCTTTGAGGGTCTCTGGGGGCGCTGGGTAGGTCGCTTCGCCGTCGCCTTTCCACCACTTCCAACCCCCTCACTCCACCTTTTTTTTTGTTGTTTCTGTTCCCTGTTTATTTTGCACCGCGCAGGTTGATGACAACGAGTACGGCGTTGGGCGCGGAGCCTCCTCGGGTGGTGGGCGGGTGCTGTTGTGTTGTTGTTTTGTTTTTCTTTGTTCTTTTTCTGGGTGGTGGGTGGTATGTATATATTATATAAGGGGAAACTCTCGCCAATTTATTGTTGCCCTGTTTGGCAATTGGTGGGAGTTTCCTGATATGTTTATATACATTTTGGTGTTTCATCTATTTTATAAACTATGGATTTCCCCCCTTAAAATTCATTATTTTCAAAATGTTAAAATTGATATTTTTTACTATTTTGTCATTGGATGAACCTAGAAATTTCAAGTTTCAACACCAACCCCAAACTCGTTTTCCTTAATCCACCAAACTCACCAAGATTTCACAAATCAATTCAGCAGGTATTTTATATAAATCTTCCTGCTTATGCTTTACATAATTCTCACCCCAATTTTCCTTACGACCGGATGGCATCCGTTACGCAGTTTCAATATGTTTATTATTAACAACTTTACCACAGTCTTTTTTACATAAACTTCGGGGTTTCCATCTATCAAGGTTGTTCCATAACCTAGTTCGTGTTCTGTAATTAAATCCATATTTACAATAGTCAATGTCATTAAACCTTAACCCATTCATAAAAGACTGACTTTTCAATAATCCAGTCTGTGGATTTTCAACAACAAAATACGGAAAACCGAAATAGTCAATTATCTCTATTGTTTTTTAATAAAATACTATTAGCATATTCAATGTTTCTTATTCCTGTTGTTTTTGCAATACTGTATTCTGTGCAAGGTGGTGAACTCCAAATAAATTGAAAATGATTTCTGTCAAACTGTTTGTAATCCCATTCAAGTATATCACAATTAATATCAGCATTTTTTAAATCCAACGATATTACATTAAAACCGAGCGACTTTGCAATAAGTCCAACACTGCCAGTGCCACTGAATAATTCTATTAAATTCATTTATTAGAATGATTTAGATATTTATTATATTCATCCATAAGTTTATATTCATCACCATCTTTCGCGATTTTATAGTATTCTAATGTTTGTTCTTTTGGGTTCTTAATGCGCCCTTTGGACACCATCTCAAAATAAGATTGTCTTTTAGTTTCATGGTCGCCTGAGGGACGCCCTAATCCTTTCTTTTGAAAGATTTTATCCATCTTCTCCTTATCGTCTTCGTTATTGGTTTTAGGTTGTTTTTTTGTTCATCAATAGTCTTAAAAAAGCTCAGTTAATGCTTTAACATTATTACTAATAATTACAAGTTGTTTCATTAAATCGGTAATTGTAAAACTTTCATTTTCTGACATTTCTATATATAAATATTTATATATTTATTTAGTTATTTATGCGTTTGAAGTGGTGTTAAATCTACTCTTTATATACTAACTTATGTCTCTGTTAAAACTAACATCAATCAAATGTGCATTAGTTTCAACAACCATATCGCCACCTGTTTTTTTCTCAATATTCAAATCTGTATCTGATTTTTTATAAGAAAACATACAAGGAATACAACTAACTTTAACGCCACCTTTTTTTTTATCTACTGTCAGTTCATTCTTAAAATTCATAACGTGATTGCATTTATCACATTTTATAGATTTACTTTCGCCCGTTGATTTAACACTTTATGTTGTTTCTTTCCGTGCTTCAATATCTGGCATTGGTCTTTCTTTGCCTTTACTCTTTTTCTTTCTTCCCATTTATATTAATATTTACATTTTTATTTTTGATATATTGTATTCCTAACTTAATTAATTCTAATGAATAATAACAACATTTTTTTTTTAAAAAAATGTATTATCAGTTATTATTACTTGTTCTACATTCTCTACTTCGTCTATTATATTAATATAATCTGAATAACTTCTATTCATATAAATAATAAGATAAATTATTCTAATTAATCTTATTATTTCATGCATGGTAGAATATTGGGGGCACAGCACTTGGGGTTTTCACTGCAACACGCAAGCAAGACACAAACTAATTATCTTCAATGCTCATTGATTGAAGCAATGGAAAATTTATTCACCACCACACATAACATAATGATGTTCCATTTAATATTAATTACAAGTTAATTTTTAAATATAATTTTCTATATTTCTTTAATATCAACTATGACAAATGTCCCAATAATAAAACCAATAAACATAACTGATTATGGATTCAATCAATCTAAATATGAGCACGTGCCAAAATTACCATTTAGCAGTATTATAGTTGCGAGTTCAACGGGAGGCAAAACAGTTTTAGTCCAGAATCTTATTTTAAATGTGTATAGAAATTCATTCGCAAGAACATCTATATTTTCCCCCAGCGTTCAGAATGACCCGACCTTTACAGAAGTTAAGAAGTACATCAGGGATGAATTGCACGTTGATGATGAAAAAGAACAAATTTATTTTGATAATTATAATCCAAGTGATTTAGAAAATGTAATTGAAAGACAGAAGAAAATAATTAATTATATGAAATCTAAAGAGATAAAGAACCTGCATTCAATATTAATCGTGATAGATGACCACGCCGACGACCCTAAATTTGTTAGATATAGTAAATTATTACACGGACTTTTTACAAGAGGCAGACACGATGCAGTAAGCGTAATTTGTTCAACACAAAAATATAATGTTTTAGCGCCTATCATTCGTTTAAATGCCAGTTCATTATATATTTTTAGGTTGAACAATGCCAGTGAGTTAATGAGTTTTATTGAAGAAAATAGCGCCATTGTTGATAAACAGCAATTGTTAGATATGTATCATCAAGCAGTGAATTTTGCTCCATATGTTTTTCTACGTGAATATGAATGCTAAAGATATTAATAAGATGTTCCATATCAATTTTGAACAGGCATTTCAAATTACAAATGATTAATAAATATATTCTAATTTAATATAATAATATGCCGATGAAACTATGTAGATGTGGTGGATTTTATCGTAGAGGTAATTATAATTTTCATACTAATTCTTGGATACATAAACTTTATAAAGTGTTAAAAAGACGACCAACGGACGAGGAATTATTAAGATTTCAAACTAATTTTGTTGATGAAGAATATTTCTTAGATGATAGAAGTAGTACTGTTTCAACATCAACGCCAAAAAGTGAAAGAAGTTGTATAAGCAATTAATAATATTAATATTTTTTTAATATTACTAATTCAGAATAATGACTAATTACATAATTGAACAGGAAACCTATATAATAATTGTGTTTGTTTTTCTTCTTCTAATTTATTAACTTTTTCATTTAGTGTTTTTACACTTTTAATCAAGAGACGCTCGCGTGTATCTTCATCATCAATTTCATTTAATTTATCAAGAGGTGTATTATCAATATCAGTTTTCTTTTTGAAAAACCACATTATATATAATATTATTTAGATTTTAATATTTCAAAATTATATTTTTGTGGTTCTTCTTCTTCGTCTTCAGTTGGTGCTGGTATTTCTGTTGGACTTTCTGATGAAGAACTATGGACAGTAATAGGTGGAGAACTATGAACACTAATAATTTCATTAGAAGAACTACTGCTACTTTGTGCATTTCCTGCTGTTATCTGAATAACTAAATCTGTGATATTTATTGTTGTTGCAATTGCGCTATGTGATAAGTTTAATATTATAT